CCAGAGCAGCTGTAAGAATGAAATGAATTTTCCTATGAAACGCCAAAAGCAGAGTCTGGCCCAAGGTAACATTCAATAAACACAAGCCATTTCCTGTTGACTCTCACTTCTCCTGAGGACCACAGGGACACTGCAGGTGACAGCCCACTATGAAGGCTGAAGAGCCAGGAGATAGAATTAAAATTGTCTGCAAGTTCATAGCCTCCGCTCACACTCATCTTTCTTCTCTCCCTCCCTTTCTGGGTTCAGAACAGCTCCTTTGCCATTTTGGAAATGTAGGGCTTCCTGAGAAACTAGACACTGTCCCCTGCTCCATATGTTAGGGGGACTTGGACCAGGGGAAGGATCAGCCAGCCTGGCCTGCCTGTCCCGAGGATAGAATTCCCAAACCCAAGTTCCTGCATCTCATCCCTCTTTGCAGTGAGTCACCTGCTCTCTCGTCTGTCATCCCCTCACTCCCAGGCTCCCTCACGTGTTCTTGTGTTCATGAGGTACCTGGTCTTCGCAAAGCGTCGTGATTTAGAGTCCCCCAACAGTCAGTGCGGGGCCAGATCAGAATCCCGCATTCCTCTTTCATTCCTCGCCTGGCCCTAGGTGTTCCTCTTCACCTTATGTCTGAGCTAGGGCTGTTTGCCTGGGATCCCTGGCCCTCACGCACTCCCCTTGGTGGCCCTAGGTCTGCGGCAGACCTCTGACTACATGCTGGAATCACGTGGGGAGCTCAGCCCGTGCCCCAGCTCCATGACACAGCACCTCCCATCCTGGGACCTCGGTTTGGTTTTTCTGTTTTGATTTTTTACCGCTTCTCAAGGAATTCCAATGTGCAGCTGGGCTGAGCACCAGTGGTCTAGGTAGTGGTGGGTAATCCTTGAAAGACATTTGTGGGAAGGTCAGTGTTATTGCTTTGAGTCCATGAGCGTTCGTTCTGGAGGGACTGCATGTCACCCTGACTCCCTGCAAAAGGACCGGCAGTTCTGTCCCTGCCTGGCAGGTCCTCACGAAACCTCTTCTCCCTCCCCCAGAATCGTGCTCGGCACCCGTGCCCCCAGCGGCATCCTTGTCCTTGATGCTCTGCTGTACAGGGCATACCCTAGGGAGAAATTCCACAGCGTAATTAAAAACATGTTTTCAGAGCAGCTCTGGCTACCCCCACCCTTCCCTTTAAACATGTCTGTAGCTTTAATTAAGCCCAGCCAAACTCCGAAGGGGCTGGCGGAAATTTTTTCCCCTCAAACTGGTATTTCCTTGTTCTCTGTCTTTTTTATTCCTCCTCCCCCTCTCTTTCCCACTCAACCTACTTGGGGGAAGAGGGGTCCCCAGGAGAGGCAGAATCACGCTTGTTGTTTTAAATTTTGGCCAGTTCGATTTTTTTCCCCTCCTACTCTGTTTTCAATTTAGAAGTGGGTAGTGGATGCTTGAAATGAGCTGTGTGACTCTCCCTTCTGCACCCAGAGCCCAGGCTGGATTCTTAGCCTGGATGAATATGACAGGACCTGGGTAGCCTGGAGCAGCTGCCCAGCCTCCCTGCACCTGCCAGGTTCTCCTTGCCCACGGCTGGGCCTGGAACCACAGGCCATAGCTGTACCCAGTGCCCAGGTCAGGGGTCTTGAAAATGATAAGCCCCCTACTCTCATGAGTACTTAGGCCTCCCTCAAATATCCTACTGACAGGGAAGCTGGGATGGGGGTGCCATGAAGGGGCAGCTTAGACTGTGAGCTCTCAGGGGCAAGAGACAGACCGAATGATCTTTGTGAAGCCGTCCTGCCAGTGCTGGGCCCGTCGTGAACGTGCTGGCCGTGCACTTGTCCCGGACGGCGCGGAGATCTTGTCACTGAACATGCACGTCCTGGGGAAGACTTCTTTGAGAGTCTTCTCTCCCCTACTCCCACCCGCTTCTCCTCCGAGCTCCCGGAGCTCATCCTCCGCGCCCCCCGGGCTTCCCTCTGCTCCGCTGCTGCTCATGTGGTTTCGCTTGGTCACGCTGCCTGCCTCCAAGTTCCCTGAGCGCAGGGGCTGTGCCCAGCTCACCTGGCCGCCCGGGCTCTGCGGGGTGGTCGTCCAGCCCGGTTTTCCAGGCCCAGTGTTAGCTGACATTTGTCGTCCTGGTGCGATTGCAAGTGGGTCAACAGCGTCACTCTCACTTTCATAACTGCCTTGGTCTGTGGAAATGTGACGGGCACATTTCTCTGCCATCCTCAGGGCCAGCCTACTGGACGGGCGGATACGTGGGGACGGGGTGGGCCATGGCCAGGTCTGCCTGTCCCGGAGACCAGGTCCTGCCCCACCCGCCAGCCGCTCACCTTCTCGGAAGCTTCAGTGACCGTGGGGACAGCAATGGTGTCTCTCCAAGGACTCGGGGGAGGATTCAATGAGGTGACAGGCCCAGGCACTTAGTAATACTTGATCAATGTTAACAGAGGAAGGAAAAAAGGGAGGGAGGAACATCTGAAGATTTTTATCTTATGCCCTTAGGGATTGGGAGAGGAGGAATTGGGAAATTTGGTATCTGCTTTTGCTGTTGCTCATAATAGTAAACACCCAAAACCATGGGAGTTTGAGAAATTAAAAACCTGGGAGTTGCTATGAGCTGATGTGTTGTACCTTTAAAAAAATTTTTTTTTAGAGTCACCATTTTGTGGAGGCAGAAGCTTCCAGAAGAACCAAAGCCTGGGGAAGGAGCCACAGACCCTCCCTCAGAGGTCCGGAGGGCTGTGGAGGGTGCCTCCACCTTTACCTAGATGTCGGTGAATTCCTGGAATGTGTGAGCAGTGGGGAAGTGGGCTGGAGGCGTCTCAGACAAGAGATTTCAATTTCTAGGGCATCAGGATGCCATCAAAGGAATGTCAGCCCAGACGCGGTGCATCCTGGGAGATTCCTTCCACCAAGGCCCTCAGCCTGGATGGCCCCACCGCACCCAGGAGGAGTGGAGAAGGCCGAGTCCCCGAAGAGGGGACACCCGCCGACACCTGGGGAAGGGAAACCTCTGAGCCAAACCCTGTCTATGAAAGCAGGGCAATGTCTCCATGGCAACGTGCTGGCCACAGGCATGAATCACTGCGCGCCAGCGGCCAGTCCTCGGGCACATTTTTTGATGGCCTCAAAGAGCACATCGAGAGTAAAATTGAGCGAAAATCTTCATGTCTTATTGAAAAGAGAGGAGGGAAAACAGTTGCATCGTGGCTTTTCCTTGGCACGCCACAGGCTCATGCAGGCAGGGACTGTGGACTGTGCCTACCTTGCTTGCCGCTGTGTACCCAGCCCCTGGCACCGTGCCTGACGACTGCTGAGTGTTTGCTGATGGACGGAACGAAGGAATAGATGAGTGGATTCAATAGTGAGTCTTGTTTAAGCGTTGTCTGTATTCGTTCTAGAAGGGAAACTCCTACATGCAAGGAATTGAGTCTCTGACTACTGTTAGCCCTTGACTCCTGGGAGCAACAAATAACTAACCAATTTGAAAAGTCACACCCGCTGTGACAAAGTAAAGCGTCCTGAGGACAGTGGCATTTCCCACAGATGAGCAGGCTCCCTCCCCCTTCCCACGTCCTGACTAAGCCACCCAGCGAAGGACCTCTGTGCACATGGGTGGGCTGTGTCTCTTGCTCCCCTTTGTGCTGGTTATTAAACTATTGTCCCTCAGTCCAAACCCAGCAGCCGGCCAGGGCTCCCTGCTCACGGGTGTGGACTGAGACCAGGCACAGAGAGCCCAGCAGCTGCCTCACTGCGCCCCCTTTCTCACAGGTCTGAGTCAGCTCCCCCACCCTCTTCTCTGTGTTTTCAAGTCTTAATTCCACTTTTTCCCCTGGTTCTCTTGGCTGTAGCCATGTCCTGCCATTGACACCTCGGTTACCAGCCTTGTACATAGCAAACACCTTTTGATAGTAAATTTACTCTCTGACTGGGACACTCTTCAGATGTTCCACGGTTGGCCCCCTTTCTTCTTTCACATTCCTTCCAACACCCAGAAAACCCCTGTCCTGCTGCATAAATCCATCTTGAATTGCGGCTGAGAACAAATCCATTCTCTTCCCCTCCACAGCACATTCCCCTCCCTGTCCTCCTCCCGGTCTGGCTGCCGTCTCTCTAAGCTCAGGCCTGCCCACTCCTCGCCCCTCCCACCTTCCTCTTTCAGCTCCTTCCGTCATTTTGTAGTCATCTGGCATCGGCATGACTCTGCAAGCCTGTAGTGAAGTGCATCTTTCCTTAGAGCTATATATGCAAAACGTACTTCGGGTTTTCCCCACTGGACTAGGAGTGAGTGCAAGGTGGGGTCTGTGTCCCGTGCTCCCAGCCCCTGGCCCAGCCCAGCCCAGGGTCTGCACACAGGAAGGCTCAGGGAATGTCTGTGATGGTGATGGTTGTATCCCACTGGACCTACGACACCATCAGTTGTAAGATGTGCTGCTATTCTCTGCATACTACAGAAGAAACCAATGTGCCTGGTTTAACTGTCACTTAACTGTGAGCTGAATCCCAATTTCAGAAATGGGAAAAACCAGCGTGCCTCGTTGAATCAATGAAACACAGAATTTCTGGGCTGGGAAGCTCTGAGAGAGCGTTGTTTTCTATTGAGCCTGCTCTTCAGGACTTAGGTTCTTCCACTGCACAGCATGGGTGCCCCAGGTGTGTGGGCTGGCCTGGCACGTTTGAAAACCAGGAGACAGGGCATGGGTGGGATGGGTAGGCAATAGATTCATCGGCAGGGAGGGCAAAAGAAGACTCGAATGTGACCATGTTGGGCTGTGGGTGGAAAATGTCCATCTCAAGACAGAGAAGCACGTCTTCCTGTGAAGGACAGTTGTCAGAGAGGCTCACAGAGCAGCCAGACGGTTGACCATGCGTCAGCGCTAAGTGGCAACCAGCCTATCACAGCTTGTCCTCCCGCCCCCATCCCACCCCCCTCTCTCCACCTGTTTACTGGCTCCACGCTCGCTCGGAGAGCACGGACTGCACCTGTTACCTTTTGCCTTTTGCGCAGGGTCCAGTTCTTCCAGAGCAGAAGCTGGATCTGTCTCGCGAAGCCCATGTTGGTGACCATGGAAGACCAGACCACGCGGAGCCTCCGTCCGTGGCGAGACTCTTGGGAAGCAAGGGACCTGAATGCGGCCCGAGCACCTCCGGCTCAGGCTGCTGTGTCCTCCTCTGGGTGATTAGAGGCTGGTTTTCCCCGGCAGAGCATAATCCCTTTTAATGACGCGTAAGCCCTTTGTCGAGGAAAGCAAGCGGACTCTCCGCCGGCTCCTTTGGAGGAAGACAAGGAGAAACGTAAAGACACAGCGGCTGAGCGCTAAGCCAGCTGAGTTGGGGGCGTTTCATGGGAAACCAAGACCCTTAGGCTCCTGCCTCCATCAGAAGAGCGCTGGGCGTCTCTGACCTTGAAATGTAGGACAAATCTCTGCATTAATACAGAATGGGCTTTGGCCTTCACAGTAGCCCCCGCCCCCCCCGAGCCAGCGTCCAGGGTTCAATGGCCCCTGTGAGCCCCTTCAACCCACTTGCCAGATTTGAGGTGACTCCCCCTTTTTCTGCAGTGACTTTAGGCCAGCTATTGGGGGGTATCTCTGAGCTTAGTGGGTGGTAAATGGTTTTTCATCTCTTGTGCTAAAACTGATTGACAAGCCGTGGCTACCTGGAGCTGTGCTGGAAAAGTCGCTGGCACCGTCTGGGCTCAGGGGACAGAGCCCACGCCTGCCCAGCCACGCGTGACACAGGCCGGGCTTGAGAAAACGCAGTGGCTGAGCCAGCGACATCCATCCATCTCGCGGTGGGGGGTTGCCGGATGGGCGCGTCCCCTGGAGTTGGATCTCTGATCCCGAAGGACATCACACATGGAAGACACACCGGCACTTCACCACTGGGAACTTTCAGCCTCTACCCCCTCGACTCAGAAGTGGCTCTTCTTGTAAGGCCCTTGAGACCCACACAGGTGGAGAGAGAGCCATGGAGTGGGAATAGACGTGGTCTCCACGGGGTTCGCGATCTGGTTGTAGACACGAGGCATGAACTGGGATACATGAAGGGGTATGTGATGGGTACGAGGGCACACAGGCTGTGCATGGCGGGGCTGTCGAGAGGAGGAGGACGGTTTCCACTTAGAAAATTGAAACAGCTTTTGCATGTGTTATGTCATTTTATCCTCACCACAAATTTGTGAGGCAAAAATCACTCCATTTGATGGAGGAGGAGCCTGAAGCCTGTGGGATTAAATACTTTGCTCAGGGTCACACATGACAATGCTGGGTTCCAGTCATTTAAATCCTATATAGTCCGGCCAGTGTGACTCAGTGGATTGAGTGTTGTTGCAAGGACTGAGAGGTCCCAGTTTGATTCCCAGGCAGGGCACATGCCTGGGTTGCAGACTCAATCCCCAGTAGGAGGTGCGCGGGAAGCAGTGGATCCCCGGTAGGGGGTGCGGGGGAAGCAGTGGATCCCCGGTAGGGGGTGCGCGGGAAGCAGTGGATCCCCACCCAGTAGGGGGTGCGTGGGAAGCAGTGGATCCCCGGTAGGGGGTGTGCAGGAAGCAGTGGATGAATGTTTCTCTCTCACAAGGATGTTTCTCTCTCTTTCCCTTCCTCTCTCTCTAAAAAAAATCAATAAAAACATATTTAAAAAAAATAAATCCTCTACAAAGACAGCGAAGCAAGAATAGCTTATCCTGCCCAGAGAAGCCACAAGAAGTGAAGCAAGGCAGGCACGGAGGGTGTGGATGGAGTGCTGGAAAAAGAGACTAGATTGGAGAAACAGACACCAGACGCAAGAACTGATGATTATCAAGGACTTGATCGAGATTTCCCAAGCACCTGTGAAGTGACCTCCGAGTGGCCCACGGGTGCAGTGCTCTCGAACACAGAAGCAAGCCCTGTGCAGAATCATTCAGATCTCCTTTCTTTTTAATCCTTACCCGAGGATACTTTTCCATTTACCTTCAGACAGAGTGGGGGGTGGGGAAGAAGGGAGAGAGAGACAGAGAGAGACATCGATGTGAAAAAGACATGTCGACTGGTTGCCTCCCGCAGAACCCTGACTGGGACGAACTGCAATGGAGGGACGTGCCCATGACCGGAATCGAACCCGCGACTCATTGGTCCACGGGCCGATGCTCTAACTGCTGAATCAAACTGGCCAGGGCCATTCAGATTTCTTTACATGCTGAAGAGTCTGGGTTTTATTAAACAAGAAGCTATGGAAGATTTTAATCCAGGGGCTGTGGAGAGTCGCAAGTTCACACTGGCAGCAACGTGGGATGGACGGGGCAGAGAGCCTGAGCAAAGGCAGTCGCGGGGCAGGATGGAGTGACAGAAGGGAAGCGATGCAGTGGCTTATTGGCCGTGGGTGATAGAGAAGAGGAGGAAGTCGGCTAGAACGACTGGGGTTTAGGGCTTGCTCAGCTGGATAGTGAGATGTGGAGCTTGTAACTGAGGAGAGGAGGAAGGAGGAGAGAAGATGGGCTTGCATTCAACATGCCAACTTTGAGGTTCCTATGACGACAGCTGAGTGGAGATATGCAGCGGGCAGTTCTGGGATGGAGACAGATTTGGGATGGTCACATAGATTAAGCCCTGGGAGGGACTGGGCAGATTGTCCAGGGAGGATGAACTTGAAGATTATGTGGGGTCGCTGTGGGGGAGCTACAGCTGGTGAAGGAATATGCCTCCCTGCAAATTTCCACAGGGAAAAAAGTTATAGTCAGAAGATATCAGCTATGTAAACTATGTTCTGTCACAGTTTTAAAAATAATCCACTTTTCATTGAGTTACAAAAGAAAACCAAACTAGGAACACTTCCTTATAATTCAGTTATAATGACACTTCAATAACATTATTCCCATCTAACTGATGTTCTTCCCTGAACAAATGTTCATTGATGTTGACACTCTTTTATTGTGGTAAAATACCCATAACATAAAATGTACCATTTTAACCATGTTTAAGTGTAGAGTCCAGTATTGTTAGGTACATTCACTCATGTGGTTGTCCAACCATCACCACTATTCATCACCAGAATTTCATCTTGCAGAACTGACACTGTCCACCGGTGACACTCAGTCCCCATTCCCTCCTCCCTCTGCCCCTGGCAGCCACGTTCTGCTTTCTGTCTCTATGAATCAAACCACTCTAGATACCCACATAAATAAAATTGGGTATTTGTTCTTTGGTGTCTAGCTAATTTCATTTAGCATAATCTTCAAGGTTCATCCATGTTGTAGCAAATGTCGGAATTGTTTTCCTTTTCAAGGCCCAATGATAGTTCACTGTATGTATATACCGCATTTTGTGGATCCATTCACTGGTCCAAAGTCATCTGAGCTGTTTCCACCTTTTCGATATTGTCATTAATGTTGCTATGCCCATGGGCGCACACATACCTGTTCAAGTCTCTGCTTTTGTTTTTATGGAATTGTTGGATCAAATGGTAATTCTATGTGTAATTTTTTTAGGAATTACCATACTGTTTTTCATAACAGCAATAAAATTTTGTATTTCTATCTGCAGTAACACTGGTTCGAATTTATCCACATTCTCATCAACACCTGTTATTTTCTGGTTTTTGTTGTTTTAGAATAGGCATCTTAATGGGTATAAGTGGCATCTCATTGTGATTCTGATTTGCTTTTTCCTAATGGTTGGTGATGTTGAGGACACTCTTTAAATCTTATAGCTCTAAGTGTAAATTTTTTCTTCTAGGTAACTACAGTTCTTTAAAAATTATGTCAAAATAAAAGCCTGTGTTCACAGTTATTTCAAATATTTCTGAGAATATGCCATTAGTCAAGAATGGTGCTGATAACTGCATATTTTATTCTCGTGGTTATCACCAGCAACACCAATTCAGTGGTTTTCAACCAGTGTGCTGCAAGAATTTTTAAAACATGTAATACTGGCCCAGCCACTGTGGCTCAGTGACTGAGCGTCAACCCATGCACCAAGAGGTCGCCAGTTTGATTCCCGGTCAGGGCACATGCCCAGGTTGTGGGCCGGATCCCCAGTGCGGGGCATGCAGGAGGCGGCCAATCCATGTTCTCTCCCATTGATGTTTCCATCTCTCTCTCCCTCTCCCATCCTCTCTCTCTAAAATTAATAAAGGGGAAAACAATTTTTAAACATGTAATACCAGACTACTTAGTCGGGGCACTGGCCTCTTTTCCCTTAGATTATTAAACAAAACAATGACAACAGTCAACACAATAATAGCTGTCATATCAACCCATATTTACCTTCACAAGTACAGAGAACTGGAGACAAGTAGTGATGTTTTTAAGATTTTGTCATTCATATTTCTGAGGTTGAAATGCAGTGTTATCAAGGAGGAGACATGCTGTTACCTGCACTGGTTATTCTGCCAACAAAAATTCAGCAGCGGAAAAAACATATAGGTAAGAAAATTCTATTTGGCAAAAAGCTCTGACAAGTGTGTTTGTTAAATGAGTTAGAATAACTGTCATTTTGGAGTGTAGATAAACTTGATAATGAAACTAATACTATTAGGTAGCCATTGGTTCTCTTGGAACAAGCTGAAGGAAACAGAACATCCCCCAAACACATCACTAAACTTATATTTCTTTGAACACATGATGACAGGCAAGGTAGGAAGCATTATGAATCTATGTAATAAATATAAAGACCGTTTTTGAGATGTAGTAACTGAGATAAAGGAAAAATATCTTGATTTCCAAATTTGAGTTTATTCCTACAAATTCAAACCTAAATAATTGGGCGATTAAAATATAAGACTCCTGCCCTGGCCGGTTTGGCTCAGCGGTTAGAGCGTCGGCCTGCGGTCCTGAGAGACCTGGGTTTGGTTCCCGCTAAGGGCATGTATCTCGGTTGCAGTTTGTCCCCGGCCCTGGTCGGTTGTGTGGGTGGCAGCCACTCGATGTGTTTCTTTCACGTTGATGTTTCTCTCTCTCTCTCTCTCTCCCTCCCACTCTACCTGAACAAAAAATGGAAAAATGTCCTCGGGTGAGGATAAAAAAATAAAATAAAAAATAAGACTCCTTCAATTATCATGAGTACGTAAATATTTCTTCTGCTTATTCAATGATATTTGACAAGGTAATAGTGCAATAAACAAGTAAACATTAGTGTGTGAAAGTTACTCATTGGAAAAAAAAAAACCCAAGGCTGGGTAGAAGCTGCTGGCGGGTCACCTGCCAGGCTCACAAAGATTCGTTCTTCTCTGAGGGTGACCCCAGTGCCAAGGTGCTGTTGGTCCCCGCACCCTGGCCATAGCTGATTGGTCATAAACGTAAACTTGGCAGGGCCAATCAGAGCCTGTCCACAGAATTCTTGACTGTGGACCTGGGAGAAGGATGAATGTATCATCA